AGAAGAAATCGCATCAATTTTTTAGGCTACGAAGGTATTGTGCTAACTGATGATATTTTTGGAGAAGAACGTGCTAGCGTAATATTAGATGATGGATCGGAAGATGGCATTGAAAGAATTTTGTTTGGACATAATTTCACACACTGGATCAACAAACTAGCTTTTCTTGATTCTTTGAGGTTTAGATTTTTTTTTTCTTAATATATTTCGCAATTTGACATTGAAATGCGGAACCTTATATAGATGGCAGAGATAGAATTATATTTGCTGCACACTTTTTTTCAGCATTTTTTTCGCAGGTATATGCGGGAATCTTTGATGTACGATGACTTGGAAAGATATATTCAAATTGACATCGATGACATATTTGTTGGTACAAGCGGAACACGCATGACTAAAGCGGATGTGGATGCCTTGTTGCAATCACAATATCGTTTGCGTCGAGATATTACAAATTTCACTTATTCTTTGGGTTTTTCTGGTTATTATTTCCGAAATGGTGACTCCCTTGAGGACGAAGGTGACGAAAGACTAATTGGTATAATTTTAAGAGCTCGACTATAAAGTATTCAAGTTTAAAATATGATGTAAGGAACATAATTCTTTTCAGAAGTCGGCAAACATTTCTTTTGGTTTCCTCATATGTGGAAACACAATCATGCGCACGAACATAATCAAACATATTTAGAAGCTGTCATGACTCAAAATAAACTTTTCGCCCAGGTTTGCATTTTAATATAGAAATTCATTGTTCAAAGTTTCCAGAAGTTTTGCTTTTTTTTTCTTGATATATTTGTTGGACATCTTGGAAAATTCTCAAATATTTTGTGAAAGATTAATGAAACCCTACTCTTTGTTAACTTTATGAATTTAATTTTTTAGGGTATGGATTTGCATGTCAATTCGGGTTACGCTGTGTCACCACAACATGCTGGCGTTTATCCGGTTCATGAAGCTTTGTATAATTCGTGGCAGTTAATTTGGAATATTACAGTAACATCAACAGAAGAATATCCTCATTTTCGACCTGCATCAGCACGCCGGGGTTTTATACACAGGAATATCTCTGTAATTTTTCGACGTTAAGAGGATTAAATGTTACACAATAATTGTTGAATCATAACATCCATTCGTTCGTACATCTAGCATTCATTTCTTAAAGATCGTCTCCACATTTTTTATTTAACGTTTAATTTTAAAATTTTGATATGGATCATGTCTGTAATCTTAACTTTTTTGTTAGTTTCTGCAGCCTGGCTTAAAAAATTTACATTTAGGTGCTTCCGCGACAAACTTGTGGTCTCTACACTCATACACAATTCTTTCACTCATATCCTGATGGTTTCACTAAATTATTGAGCAACATTGAGGGTGGTGATCTGTTCTTCACCATAGTGATTAATCCGGTGAGTGTCACTATTGATGTTTTTTTGTTATTTCACTCTTTAGATTCTTTACATTACTTAAAGCAAGTTTCTTTTTTTTGGTTGGGAATAGTTTTTAATGAATAAAGAACGTATTTCTGACCAGTAATTCAAGAAAAACCGGAAAAGGGTCACAAAAATAAGATCTGAAATTTCAGTTTTCGATCTTCATGACACATCAGCAAAACTACGCGAACGATCGCCTCGGTATTTTTTCTTTTGAGCGAGTAGTAAATTTTATCAAATGTTGGACGAATTTGCATTTGCGTTGGGTAGGACCTGTACGAATTGCTTCTGCTTACTTTGCACGTTATGCGGCCGAGAAAGTCCCTGTATGGAGTGTAAGTTCAAATCCTTTGTATACAATTGACATTTATGGAATTACGTAACTAGTAAGTCAAAAATGTAACCACATTAATAAAAGTGAAATAAACTCACTGATTTTAATTGAATGAGTTTATTTATTTTTAATTTTGAATTTATAATTTTACTTTATATTTGGTAGGTTTCCCTTTTTGCATTTGGAACATGTGTGTTGTTTTGCCACAACTTTCTGTTCGGTTTTTTTCTTTTTTTGATCTGATCCTTTCTAGAACTGGTTATAAAAGTTTTTTAGAATCCTTGTGATGATCCACGACATGCGAAAATCCTTCCGCAAGCGTTCAACTGCTCCGAGATGCCACTTCCAAACATGCTTATTGTGGGACCGCAGAAAACTGGTTCAACTGCTCTTGCTACATTTCTTAACCTGCATCCGAATTTCTCCAGTAATGATCCAGTTCCATCATCATTTGAGGAGTTACAGTTTTTTGGAGGACCTAATTATGCTCGTGGATTGCACTGGTAAGTGCACACATTTCTTTTTGTTGGTGAAAGACTATCTTCTTAGATGGTTGCCAGTGGCATAAGAAATACCATTCCAGGTATATGGATCAGTTTCGTTCTAAAATTGACCATCTTATTGTTTTCGAGAAAAGTGCAACTTACTTCGATAACCCGAATGCTCCACGTACATCCGCTGCTTTGCTACCAAAAGCAGAAATTGTTGTAAGTTACTTTTTTCCTTTTTTTTTTCTTGCATTTAGACGGTTAGCAATCAATTATCAAAGTATTATGTTTCCATTTTTCAGATTATTCTTTTGGATCCGGCAGTACGTGCATATTCCTGGTACCAACACATGCGTGCGCATAATGATACAACAGCAATGACACATGAGCTAGATGAAATTCTCGATGCTAATGCATCATCGGTTCTTTTACGGCGCCTCAGAAACCGCTGTATTTCACCTGGGAGGTGTGCATTTTTATTAATACATTTTTGTCAACTTCCATTGTTTATTGCGGGTTGATATGGATTGAAATTATGTGGAATTATATAAAGTGACAGATCCCTTCTTTGCCTTCTTAATTTTTTGAATGAATGTAAGCAGGATCTAATACTTTTTATTTATAAATTCCAGGTATACGCATCATTTAGAACATTGGTTAGATTATTATCCATCGACACAAATTCATTTAATTGATGGTGAGCAGCTTCGTACAGATCCAGTGGCTGCTGTTACCTATTTAGTTGATGCTCTTCATGCACCAAAATTTGCCTTCAGTGATCTCATTAAATTTGACGACAGGAAGGGATTCTTTTGCAGTTATATTAACGGTATGAATTAATTATTGCTTTCTGCATTTTTTGTTTCAAAAAAAAGAAAACTTTAAGAGAGCGTAAGATAGCGCTAACGCGAAGTTGTCATACTATAGTACCCATTTATTTTTAATTTTAATTGCTTTTTTTTTTTTCAGGGACAAAAAGATGTTTGGGTGTAAGTAAAGGACGCAAATATAAACCGCTCAATGAGGAACTTCGAGAGAAACTGGATCTTATTTTTAGGGATGACAATATTGCCTTACATAGGCTGTTGTTACGTAATGATTTGCCGATTCCGAAGTGGCTTCAAAATCAACTTTCCAGAACTAATTTTACTTAAGTACTAAGAGAATGGGAATGAGATACATACGTTTGGTAAGTTGAAGCCTTTGTGAGTGGGTGAATTTTTAACTGATATTTGAATCAAGCAATCTGTAGCGGAAATTTTCCGGTGGAATACTAATTCAGTTTCTGTCAACTTTACCCACGGCCTGATTTGATGCAGAAACATTACATCCGAAGGGCCCTTCATTTATTAAGGAATGTCTCTCAAAGTTTACCCTTTACTTACAACTATTCGTATTGCTTTTAGTAATTTTTTTTCCATTTCATTCTCTATTTTTCACTATTTTATTCCTCATCAGCAGTACTCCAATCCACCGTTAGTCCTAATACTTTGAATTTTTTATATGAAAATACGGGTTTTTTTGCGATCACTCAAAATCGGACATTTGAAAATGTTGTGATGTATTTAAACTATTATAAAGTTGCCTTTCATTTGACGCATTGCAAAACGTTCACTATTGTAAATTTTAGTTTGGTATATTGAGTTTGTATCTATGTAGTTTGTATCTATCTAATAAACCTCACTTTGAATCTGAATTATAATTAATCATTGTGTGTGTTCCCCCTTTGCGAAAAATCGAGCTTGTTTTTGGCGAAGTTTACGTTTGAAATACAAAGACGCTGTTTCATGTACGTCGTCCCGTGTAAAATGCAAAATGATGCCAGTGCTGTAATTTTCTTTGTATTACTATGGTCTTGCTTTCTGAATCCAGTGGAGTGATTGTAAGAATTGCGCCTATGATACTGTTCCGCACATATTTAATGGGGTGGAATAACATTATGAAGCTCGCAAATCGATAAGATTTGTGTGATGAAAATAGAACAGAAGTGTAAGTAGTGCAGTAGCAGAAATAAATATTCCCGGGATAGTAATGAGGTATATCCGGATAATGCCATGTCCGAGCAATGCCCCGCCAGTTAAAATTCGCATCCATATTCCTCTGAAGTCTCACTTTAAAACGTCGCAAATGCTGGCATTTATGGACGTAGTAGTTTTGTCGATGAATGCGTCTTTCATGGTATACAAAGGAATACCCCTGTAAATTTGGAACCAATTAAATTGGAGCTGTTACAGGTGGTTTCTCTAGCAGAAGATGTGAGACGGTGAAGAATACAAATGCGAACAAATCGTATTTATTAGTAAAATAACTTCAAAATAAAGGAAATAAATAACACCGAGTAACGATTAAATTCATTATAAAAATATTTTGCAGATATTTCGATTAGGAGGAAATTCAAGGCATTCCAAGCTACTAGGTATTCTAACTTCATCTACGAAACAGAAGTGGTCTATTTCTTTCCTGAAGTACTGTGGAAATTGAAGACGATATTGGGATAACTTCGAACAAATAAAGAGGGAATCCAAACGATAGATTTCATGGCCCATTATTTTAGAGGTGACTTCTGCTAAATCATCTGCCCAAAATTATATCGGAAGGCAGTGGACAAAACTGGTGAAACACGTGTGAAAAGCAGATGCAGTATTTCAAAAACAATTTTAGCATTAGTTTGAATTTTATAACTATAGAATTATTTAATTTATTAAATTTCTTATATCAAAAACGAAAAAAGGACACCAAGTGTCTAATAAATATTCCATCTAAAGATGTATTTCCATGCTACATCTCATGATACTTGAAAAGATAATCAGGATCCGAATCTGGATGGGAATAATCGATACATATGAAAGACAATTCAGATGGTCGTAAACAATAACCCATTTGCAAACCTCTCATTACGGACTAATAAATAATATACTAATTATCCAGTGTATCGAGTAAATCAATAATGCGTTCCATAAAACGAACGTGCGCTTTCTTTCCATCCTGAAGCAAATCTGTTAACAATCCAATCAATAACTACATATAATGAACTGAAGTATTAGGAAAAACCCTGAGATTTATTTAAAAACAAAGACATAATTCCTCTAAAAAAAAGTTGAAAAACTCCATATGAATACGGCAATGGAAAACACTAGCTGTGAACAGACCGTTAACTTGATAAATTCCAGAAAGCGTTGAAGCTGCTCAATTAGTGCAACCAACTTTCCATCCTTCATTTCTGCTTTCACTATATTTACTGACTCCTGTAAAATCACAACTAATCTGAGTGCTGTTAATATCAACAAAAAATTTTCCGTGTAAAAAAGAAATTAGGAAAATTCAGTGGAGATGATAAACCTCATTTTGCAACAACAGACATCCAATCAAAAGTGCGAAATACGATGCCAAAACTGAATCTTCCATATGCGAGCTAGCTTTATTCATAGCATTTTGTACAGCTTCAACCATTTCATCCTCGGTTAATTCCGTTGGCAATCGGTGCAACCGGCCATCATCTAAATATTAAAAACTCCACTGTTAAAATGATTTGCAACAATTTTAATTTATTAAAAAAAGAACAGAATTTTAGATGATAAGGTGGGTCTTCATCCTATGAATTAAAGATAACCTTCTGCTTCCTCTTCATGACTAACACTGTCATCCGGAGCATCTTCAATAACAAGATCATTATCCAGTTCCTCATCGATCGAACGAGCCAGTGATTCGTGGTACACAAACAGCTAAATGTTGTTCAAAGTGTTGTAAAAGACTGAATACAGATATGTCATTTTTGAATAAAGCGCAAAACTATAACAAACTCATTTCGCCTCCCCTGCGAAGCTTAAGACAAAATTTTATTCCAAGAGATTGTCTAGAAAATTTAGTTAAAAACACGAACTCCAAGTATTGCTTCATCCATAAACTACAAAAGATTAACAAAAAATAACCTGACTGAGAGCTTTCAGTGTTGGTTCTTGCCTCTCTGCTTTATTTTCGAGGTCATAAACTGGGACTGTAAGTCCAATAAGCTTACGTCTGTTAAAATTACAGCGTTCAAGCAAATTAACCAAAAGACTACACAGCTGCAAAAAGAAAAAAAAATCAACAGTGGTAATTTTCAGTTGCCAAAAATGAGAATAGAATCAAACATAAAACAGAATAGGCACCTAAAAAAAAGCTAACCAACACGATGAGATCAAACTGCTTCTCCTTGCGAACATACTTTGGCACCAAATATGTGAAGCAGGATACGCAGAGTGAGAGGAAATCATTCATCTGACCGAGCTTTGTGCAGCATAATTCTGTAGCAATAATTCAGGGATTTCAAAAAAAAAAAGAATGGAAGACTATAATGGAACTAGACAGGAAAAAACAACAGCATTCGACATACCATTCTCATATGATAAACTCATCAGTAACCCAACCATCCGATTCAGACATGTGATATTTTGCTCCTTTAATTCATTTGTATCGTCACCATGTCGTCCTATTGTACGAAACAACAAAGACATGAGTCTAGAAAATTATACTGCGGTGAATGAACCTACATGAAAAACACATCTAGCTGAATCTCTGAGACTATTATCGAAAACGGGATTATGCCATAGCATCATCATTTTTTCTAGCAACCCACGCTCCAACACTTATTTCTATAATTTCTAATCACTTCTTTACAAGTTCTTGAGTGACCTAAGGAGAAGAGATCAGAATTACGATGTTCATGTCCAAAATCAGATGGATAATTCCTCATATAATTTATATATCAATGGATTTCTTCGCACCCTACTTCAAAAAAATTTTGAATCCCATTCTTTAAAAACGTTTTGATTTCATAAATACCTTCCGCATGATTGGATGAGGGCGCTCCCTCGATGGCTAATCAAATATGCTCCGTTCTTTTCATTGCAGACTGTTGCCTTCAAAATAGACATGTTATTCCAAATTCAGCAAACTGTTGAAACGACAAAAAATCATTTCACTTCTCAATACATAACTGCCACATAGCTTCAAAAGCAAAAATCAGCACAAAACCATAATATCAAGGCTTTGCATGTATTTCGTAAGCTTTAAGAAAAAAAAAACGACACTGATTCGAGTACTCTGAAGCATCGTTCTAGGACTTTCAAGCACAGAAGCGTATCGTCATCTGATATTTTCTCGTGCAACAAGCGCAATACTGTTTTATCCACTGC